TCCAAAATTTGGGTGGGGCTTCGGTTGCTTCCACTTCTTCACCACCAAATTGCAAGCAATAAGACCTAAACAGTACTGATTTCTCTGTAGTCACGGCTAGCCACGGCATTTTGGGAACCATCCAAACGAGAAGAGTCACTTTTGTCTTCCATCTCTTTGTTCTAAGATATATTCTCCTGAATGAAAAAGTTGCCTTAAAAGTGGAATCGACGTGATTTATAACTGTTAAATCTCAGCGACACAAACACAAACATGCACACACAGCACTTCAAACATATCCCATCTATGAGCTGGATTAGGCCATGTAGTCACAGAAAGTACAACGCACCTAACAAAGGTCCAATGAGCGCGCAGGTGAATCTGTGTCACTGTGGGGAAGTGTGTCGTAAACTTTCACCCCATTGTCAGTGCTTGGAGAGCGTGAGCCCTCAGTACAGTGTTATTTTTTCCAGTCTTCTACCTTTTTATAAGAAGAGTTTCATTACGGAAGGGGCGTGGGAATTAGCTCATCTTTTCTGAGCTCTAAAGACCTTTGATTGGCTCTTAGGTTACTATAGTTGTAAGCGGGGACAACAGTGGTTGGATAAAACGAGCAAGCCGCCAAGTTGATCATTCTGTGTTCATTGCGTGCGATCATAAAGGTTTTAACTGTTTATTTTGTTAGATAAAAAACTTGCATTTACTTTGGGATAGAGTTGAGGGGGAGGAATATAAGGTTTACTCTGCTCACCTCTCCAGCTTCAACAGCACAAAGTCTGCTTCCACTATCAAGGCACCTCGGAAATAGAGGGTCCCAAGAGTGTAACAAACATACAACAAAGTAGAGGAAAATGACGAAAAGAAAAAGCAGCAGTTCCCTGTTGCAGTCCAGGAACAGTTATGAGCATGACATTGATGAATCAGTCCATTTACAATTCTACTGTGCATAAGAATATAGGGTTAATGCTCCCCCTTGGGACTGGCCTAAAGACACTACAGTCAGTAGCACCGCCTCGGCGGGTTGGAATAGACAGATGTGCTATAAGGCGTTGAAATAGACAGATATGTCACCAGGAGGTGGAATAGACAGATATGTAACCACGTGTTGAAACAGACATATATGTCACTAGGTCATGGGATATACAGATGTTCCAAGTGGACCAAACTTCCGCATTTTCAAATTGCGTGTGGGCAAACACAATAACAACAGCAATATCAACATCAGTAACATCAACAGAAGGCTACAACTGCAACAATAATCACAACGAAAACAAAAAAGAAACCAACAGCGAACCAGGACAGCGGTGGGATAAGCTGGTCTAGGCGGACAGATGGATGGATGGATGGATACAAAAAAGAAACCAACAGCGAACCAGGACAGCGGTGGGATAAGCTGGTCTAGTACACGGAAATTGTTTGCTTCACCCATGTTTCTTATCCTATAGTACACTTCTTCTATTCACCGAAAGTCCTTTCCTCTAAATAATATTATCTATTAAAAATTGTTCCCATATGAATATACTTTTCCCTGTTGTCGCTTTTTTATCATCTTGACTGCTTCCTTCACTGCCAATGTATATGTAACACTTTAGCATTACATGTACATTTAACGCACTGGTTTACCAAGAGAAACCACTTTGGCAACATGGCTCCGTTTTGTTGGAGTGCCTTGTTGCATAATGATAGTTCATTAAAGGCGTTTAGAGAGATAAATCAGAGAGCTGTCAACTTGAGTCATTTTGCACTATGCAACAAAACAAACGTGTCTTGATGGGGCTGCGGGTGGGATGCTTCAAGTCTGTCCTTTACAGTTGAGGCAACCTGGGGTCTATGGCATACACCTCAGCAGATAGAAACATGAGCAATGAAATAAGCTCCCGACGTGGAACTTTTTAACCTTTTTTAACCTTCATGACGAAAGGCATTACTCATTTTCTATTTCTAGAATCAAGAATGCTTGTTTAAAAGAAGGACCAAAAGAAAAACAAAGTTGTAAAATATGTTTAATGAAACCAGACACACATGCGTACATCTTGCGAGTATTCTACAAGTCAGGTTTGTATTTGCAGGATTCACGAAAGAAATTGATTTTATCGTCAACGGGGCAACCTAAACTATTCAGAGAAAGAAATGTGAGAAATTTCATTCCTTCAAAGCATTTCAAAGAATTAACTGTATCAAACTGAAGGTATGGGCTTATAGGTAAGTCTATGTCTTTGCCGCTCAAGGCATGCATAATAAATAGATGTTGCTTGTAAACACTTGATGAGGCTTAACTAAAATTTAGCCCTGGTATTATACACTATATAACTTATTGTTATGTTATCTTCATAGTCTGAGTCAATAATATCTTCAATTTCCGTTGAGGTCTCCTTCAGTTTATGTCCCACTATCAACGCCAGAAGCCGAGGATACGCTCACTTCATACAAGAGCTTTTGCGAGAAAATGTCTTAGTAGGAAACGTGCAATAAAAATAATTACTTTCGTGTAACCTACACTCCTTTCTTAATTGTGTTATTTTTAAAATTATTTTTGGGGTTTTAAACAATGTATTTTTCAAAAACATCCTACACTCGTCATTCACACCGTTTAGTGACAGAAATGTATTGCTTGTTATAAAATATTATGGCAACCAGTTTTGTATATAAAAGCAAATAATAATAGGCTAAACAACAGGGCGCACGACGTCATAGAAAGAGGGACAAGTGATGCATTGATTATATACACATATCCACATTCCTCGACATGGGACTGCTGGGAAAACAGTGACTGACGTGGATACGAAGACAAGTATAAATGGGTATCTAGAAGAGCATATTGTGTCTCTCTGCTTTAGTTTGAGTAAAAAGGTTTTAAACACAAGTAAAGCGATAGTGTGTGGTCGTGCAAATGTTATGATCGACGACCACGCTATATTTAACACCTTAAAAAAAAAAAACTTTCTGAGTATGGTTTCAAACTCGGTGCGCTTAGTCCCCAAACCAAGCCACCTTGCTCATTGGAAATCTATCAGATGAGCAGCAAAAGTAATTATAATTCTGGACCCTCTCGGGTTCGAAACTGCACATCACGCGTGTCAAAAATAATTTTGAACTTAACGCGGATTTAGCAGGGCCAGGCTTTTCATTGACTCATGTAAAGTGGGCCAGGATACCATCGTGTTAGAACGAGCAACCATGATGCTGGATCACAGTAGAGGGACTTATGAATATACCGTGAAGGAATAAGGCAATTTAAAAAAGAATATTTCTGATACATACCAAAAATAAGAATGATAAGGCGATTTAGTATCGTGATTTGTGACATTGTTGTTACTATTTTACGCCTTTACCAACACGATTTAGATGTCTGAGGGATTTGACCGGGTCTTTAATGGCTACCCGAGCTGAGAAAGATACACATGTACAGAATCTTGGAGACACTACATCGAATAATCTTTCTTAGGTGGGAATAGAACCCACTTCCTTTGGGGTAAAAGACAGACAAACTAATCGTGGAAGGTACGTGAATAATTAGAACAGTATTTGACTAGGGTGAGCAGACTGTACCACACTAAGGGCTCTTAAGAAAAGAACTGTGCAGACAGATTCCAAGTGCTAAACAGCAAGGTTAAACTCTCATGACGTTGTATTAATATAAAAGAATATAGAAATTGCCAAAACAGGAAGGACTGCTTAATACTATCCCCCTTGTCTTCTCGTCGTTTCTAGATCCAAAAGTGAGTGACTTATGACCACCCCCACCTCCACCCAACGAAAATGCAATTTATCCTCTTTTTCTCTTCACCTTCAACAACATAACATAATGCTTGTTTAAAATTTTTTATTTTAAAAAAACCCTCTTCGGTGATCGAGTCAACCCCCCCCCCCCCTTCCTCCCAAAAAAAGAAAGAAAAGAAAAAAGAAAAGAAAACAACTTCATTTTTTAAAATCCTCAAAAATCGAAAATAAAAATAATTGTACTCAATGCACCACAAACAACCTTTTCAATTTCCACTCAAGGTTGCCACCTCCCCCCTCCCTCTACCCCGGTGTTTCCCCCAGCCTAACCTCCACCCTCCCCGCGCAGCTCAACGTTTTTGATTTCAGTTTCTCAGCTAACCTTACTGCACTCACGCGCGGGCACGCACTCGTACACACGCACACACACACACACACACACACACACACACACACACACACACACACACACACACACACACATACACACATGCATTCACACACTACAATAACATTCTCTACATAATCTGTTGTAATCTCCCTTTTAGTTTGAAATAATAATCAAATGCATCAAACTTGTTGCACCCCCCCCCCCTACCAACCAACTTCCCTCTAAACAAGAAACCTATTCCTAACCCTTCCACCAAACCCCAACCATCCACTCCATCCACCCACCCATAAACAGGTCAACAACTTCGATTTTGCTCATTCTGCGCTCACTGAATCTCACATAAAGTAAAGACTGTCACTCACCGACAAGGGATTCGTTAGGAGGGTAGGGGAGCAATTGGGAAATAAGACAGAGGGAGGGAGGGAGGGGGAGAGAGAGAGAGAGAGAGA